AAAAAAGAAAATAAGAAGGTTTAAAAGATTGATGGTTTATAACAGTGCTTGCATTGGGAGACTTTTCAATAGTCAAAATACCTTAAAATGTCCTTTATATGATTTTACCCTTTCTCCCAAATATAAGTTGAACTGTGTATAGATGAGACATGGTATTTTCTGCCAGCTCTTTATAATTATAATTGAAGATGAGTATTGATGAATTTTTATTACTTTTCTTCTGCACACTTTCACAGCTAATTAATATTTTACTCTTGTGCATATCTCTTGATACTCAGATTCATTTAATTCATTTATAACCTGAATTGAGGTTTTGTGGGTCTTGGTCTTTGTTGTGAATGTTGTCATCTCATTGGGCAATAGTGAAGTTAAAATTACTTTTTTCTTAATAGACTAGCTAGCTGAGCCTGWCTTTTATCATACTGTAAAACCAATTATGAGATAGATTGAGGCTTTCAGAATATTTCTAATACAATTATTAGGTTCAAATCATTTTTCTATAACAGGAAATAAAGTGCTTAGGAGTAAGGGCTTGGTATCAGGTGGATTATAAGCAGGGCACATATGTGYAGCTGCTTCCTCATCTGTAGAATGAGGATAGTAAATCCCTGTTTCACCAGGTTGAATAAATTAGTGAAAAAATACATAAAAGTTCTTTACTCAATGCCTGGTTAAAAAGCAGTTAGGAAATAGAAGCAAATAGTACTTAGAGGTATACTTTTTAGAGATGTTTTGTTTATGTGTATGTATTTTTATAAAGTAATAAAAATGTTTTTTGATTCCTTTCAGGTCAGTTGAACATGCTGATGGTCAGAGTGTCCTAACAGACTCACTGTGGAGGAGATATAGTGAGTTTGAGTTGTTGAGAAACTACCTTTTAGTTTACTATCCACATATTGTTGTGCCACCTCTACCAGAAAAACGGGTAAGAAGCAAGATGGCAGTAGTTAAAAGTACTATACATTGAGACTCTTCTTAATGATTGTTTTATTTACCTAGGCAGAATTTGTTTGGCATAAACTCTCTGCTGACAACATGGATCCGGATTTTGTGGAAAGACGACGGATTGGTTTAGAAAACTTTCTCTTAAGAGTTGCTTCACATCCTATCCTTTGTAGAGACAAAATCTTCTATTTGTTTTTAACACAGGTATCTTTTTAAAATGTTCATTTGACTTCTTTTTTTTTTTAATGACAAATCCCACTAATATGTAAAATTATAATGCACCTATATAAAAAATGTAGGATGTTTATTTCTTTTTTCTTTTTTGGTGGTACTAGGGATTAAACCCAGGGCTTCGCACATGATAGGCGAGGACACTATCAATGAGCTTCATCCCCAGACCTTTTTAATAAAAACATGTTTTGAATCAGAGTCTCAATGAATTGCAGGAGCTGGCCTTGAACTTGTGATCGTCTTTCCCCAGCCTCCCAAATAGCTGGGCTTACAGGCATGCACCAACTCAGCCAGCTAAACTGTAGAATGCTTTTATTTTGGTACAGAAATTGAACCCAGGGACACTGAGCTATACCTTCAGGCCTTTTTTTATTTTTTTATTTTTTATTTTGATATGGGGTCTCCCTATGTTGCTTAGGGTCTTGCTAAGTGCTGAGGCTGACCCCAAACTTGTAATTCTCCTTAGCCTCTCTTTTTTTTTTCCCTATAGCTTTATTGAGATAAAATTAAAGTACAATAAAATGTACATATTTTAAATATTAAATTTGATCAATTTTGACATGTATGCAACCAGTACAATCAATATAGAAAGCATTTTAATTTGAAATTAAAATTTTTAAGTTTTTAATTTGAAATCATGCAAACTGTATTTCCTGAATGATTTATTAAACCTTAAGATATATAGATATACACCTCACCCCACATGTCAACTATTTCAAAATTAAATGGCATGCTTATCTCAGAGGTCAAGGAAGAAAGCACAAGAAAAGTAATTAAAAAGTGCTTTGAACTAAGTGATAATCAAAGTTTAAAATATCAGGATCTCTGGGATGGAACAGTACTCAGATGAACATTTATAACTTAAAGTACTTGTATTAGAAAGAAGGTAGAATAACAAATTATCTTCAAATTATATAGTAGGAAAGAAAAAATAAGAGTAGGAGTAGAAATATATGAAATAGAGAAGAAATAATACAGCTAAAAGTTGATAAAACATAAACCAGTATAATNTTTTTTTATTTTTTATTTTGATATGGGGTCTCCCTATGTTGCTTAGGGTCTTGCTAAGTGCTGAGGCTGACCCCAAACTTGTAATTCTCCTTAGCCTCTCTTTTTTTTTTCCCTATAGCTTTATTGAGATAAAATTAAAGTACAATAAAATGTACATATTTTAAATATTAAATTTGATCAATTTTGACATGTATGCAACCAGTACAATCAATATAGAAAGCATTTTAATTTGAAATTAAAATTTTTAAGTTTTTAATTTGAAATCATGCAAACTGTATTTCCTGAATGATTTATTAAACCTTAAGATATATAGATATACACCTCACCCCACATGTCAACTATTTCAAAATTAAATGGCATGCTTATCTCAGAGGTCAAGGAAGAAAGCACAAGAAAAGTAATTAAAAAGTGCTTTGAACTAAGTGATAATCAAAGTTTAAAATATCAGGATCTCTGGGATGGAACAGTACTCAGATGAACATTTATAACTTAAAGTACTTGTATTAGAAAGAAGGTAGAATAACAAATTATCTTCAAATTATATAGTAGGAAAGAAAAAATAAGAGTAGGAGTAGAAATATATGAAATAGAGAAGAAATAATACAGCTAAAAGTTGATAAAACATAAACCAGTATAATCAAAAAAAAACAAGAACACAAAAATTAACATCAATGGAGAGGGAGCTATCAAAATAAACCTACAGATGCTGAAAATATACTAAGATAATATTACAATTGTATGCCAACTTATGTGATAGCTTACATAACATGCTCTATATTAGAGAAGGATCTGTGTGCTACTGAGAAGAATATGTATTCAGTCATTAATGGATGAAATATTCTATATATGTCTGTTAAGTCTAAATTATCAATTGGCTTGTTTGTTTGTTTTTGGTACCAGGGATTGAATTCAGGGGCACTTGGTCACTGAKCCACATCCTCAGCCCCATTTTGTATTTTATTTAGAGACAGGGTCTCACTGAGTTGCTTAGCGCCTCGCTATTGTTAAGTCTAGCTTTGAACTCTCAATCCTCCTGTCTTAGCCTCCTGAGCTGCTGGGTCAATGTATTTTTTACTTCTATAGGTTTATGTGGTTATTGCAGGATCTATCCAGTGGTAATAGAGTCATGCTAAAGTTACCCAGTACTATTGTGCTGTGGTCTGTTTGATTCTTGAAATTGAGAAGGGTTTGATGTATGTAAATGCTCTATTGTTTGGGGCATAAATATGTACGGTTGTTATGTATTATTGATCTATAATTCCCTCACGCAGCATGAARTGGCCTTCTTTGTCCCTTCTGATTAACTTTGGCTTGAAGTCTACTTTATCTGATTTGAGGATAGAAACCCCTGCTGATTTACATGATCCATGTGAGTGACATGTTTTTTTCCCATCCTTTCACCTTTGGTCTGTGGATGTGTTTGCCTATGAGGTGAGTCTTTTGGAGATAGCATGTTGTTAGGTCTTGTTTTTTAATCCAGTCTGCCAGTCTGTTTCTTTTGATTGATGACTTTAGGCCATTAATGTTCAAGGTTATTATTGAGATATGATTTATATTCCTGGTCATTTGGGTGCATTACTAGTTTTTAATTTGAATTTGTTTCTCCTTTGATTAACTATTCCTTTAGTGTAGTTCCTCACTTTG